GATGTGTTTATTTTCACTTTAGCCTTTGACTCTTTTCCAAAAATACATAATATTTTAATCAATAAAATGCACATCAATATCGAAATGATTTTCTGTTGTAATGCCATTTTATCCACATTTTCTATTTCCAAATAAACACTATTTCTCACTTATTTCCAATGTATCGTAGCACGGTCGAACATTACTGAGCCTGAGCGGACTGTGTACGTGCCATTTATAACATTTTCAATATTTCTCGTTCAATTTTTAACACAGTTCAACCACTACCGGTCAGAATTGAGTTTATTGATCACATAAGATACATTTTTTTTAAACGCCAGCCCAAATCGGCCAATAACAATGCTGATGTGATTCGGTTTCAAGCAATAATTTATGGCATTTCATATGTGTTATGTCAATGAACGACTCATAAAAACCTCGATCAATATATCTTGTAAGTTGGAAAATTTATTGAGTTTGTAGTCGTTTCCGTGCTGCGCTTCATTGATTTTTTCAATTTCATGAAATCGCAATTTGAACGAGAAAAAAAAGACAGCAACGACGGCAAAAGAATTCTTTTCCGCAAATGTTATGGAATCAATTTCAAAACTGTGTCGTTTTATTTTTTTTTGTCAGAAATTACCATAAAAAATGTAATAAATTAGTTGGAAATGAATTCCCACTGCGAGAACGGTGCCAACGGTGTGGTGTGGTCGAATCGAGTGGAATCTCAATTAAAGCATTGCATTCGTTCCGAAACCGAATTTATTTTAAAATAAATTTGAATGTTGGCGAAAACTATTTGCATTCTTATGAGTGTTGGTGCTTGGTTGATTGTACAATGTACAATATATACAGACGAGAAAAGTGAGGGAATAAATTAGCAGGTACAGATGTAAATTCAAAACAGAAGGATAATTCATTTGAATAACTAAGAATTTCATTATACGTAGTATGATGTGAATGTAAGTTGCCACAAAATGCATAAATCCATAAGACATCGAGATAAAAAGGCAACACCGAATTACAGCAACTTGAAGATTCGAAATTCCTGTGTGATGTGCTCTGCTCATGCACTTGATGAATTTCGAAAACCGACAAAAACTCATTTCCTATTATCTGGCAAAGTTTTCAATTAAAGTTAAATCCGTCTTTCTCCCGCTTACACTACAAATGTAAATCCAACAACTTTGATCGTTCCTTTTCATATTTATCACAGCTGACGTCGTCAGTGTCGTCGTTGTCGTAATCGTAGTTGCTCATACTTGTATTATATCAATCCAAGTTTGGTTGTTGCAATACATTGGGAAAAAAAGCGACTGACTTTTTCTTAATTCGAAAAGGATGTACAATTCCCTGGCTTCTTTTTCTCAGATTTGATTCTAATGCCAATGCGAAATTAAATGTCAGTATCACAAAGGCCCGTCATCTCTTCTTTCTCTTATTTATTCACAATGAAAATATTTATGAAAATGTTTATAAAGCATTAATTTGCCAGTATGTATTTCAGCTCGGTTCAAATATCGTACCCAATGCGCCGTTGTAATGCAATTTTATGCACCTAATACGCATCCAATGTAATGGTCCAATTGTACTAATATTATGCATATATTATGCATACAGTAGTATGCATACTGATCACACTATCTCTTTTTAATGGCGATTTGCGATGCATAGAATATGCATCTGTTCATATACATGCATACATTCGATGCATACGATATGCATCAGATGTAGGCATGCAGATTAGTGAAAATGGCTCATTGGGTATCGAATGATGTTATCAGATATTTGACTAAGACAAATTACAGACTGCTGTTGATGTTTAATATATTTATTTATTTGAAGATCGTGAACTCTCATCGTTCTATATTTTAGTTGATTGCACCGACAGTGGTGAAACCACAAAATCAACAATATTCGGGCTATGTTTCATGTTTGAAATTCGTTGGAATACGAAACCTGAATGAATTCGACTCAAAAATTAAATTAAAACAATCAGAAGTGCTTTGAATTCAACCTAAGACATTTCAATATTCGAAATGAACCGGCTGACGGGTTATCTGTACGCAATGCGAATAATTTTTTTTTTGTGTCAGTTGTTTGTTGAATCAAAATTTCATTTGAACAGATTGTTTGTTCATCTGCTGAAGTTTGAAGACGACTTGTTTAAAACTTTACGAATGCACTCAATCAATACTCTCTTTTTTTTGCCGTGTCGGTTGAACGCTGAGATAAACAGCATTTGGCGTGACGCTCTGCTTTACAGTGGGTTTACCTTCTTTCGTGCCCAAGATAATATAATTTTGATCAAGGTAAGCGAATCAATTGGAATTTGCATTCGCTTCACATCGATTGAGATCGTGCCATTTCATCATTACATTGTGCTTGCATTGCGACTTAACAATTGGATTTGGCATGGTTGCAATAAATAATCCCTTGCTCTAGTTATAACAAGAAGTTTTCTTCAATCCAATTGATTCTGATCTGAGTAGATTAAGGCAAATTAAATAAGATCCAATTAGGCACTTTTGAACAGTATAAATGTTATATTTGTCAATTTATCGAACGTTCAACGGTTTATGAAGCCGTTGTTCTGTTTTTTTTTTTTTTTTTTCAACTGAAGAAGAATGCAGTGAAATATTCTTGATTCGAACCATTTCTTAATTGGCTGTTCAGCATTTATTGAGTGCGCTTTCTCTAATTGCCTTCAATTTGCAACCTCAAATTGTTTGGAATTTATTTTTAATCTCAAAATATACTGTCTTCTATTCAATGGAAAGGGAAAAAAATCCTAGCAACTTTTTCCAAAAAAAGCCGCACAAATTATATGTCTGAGCTCATTTAAACTCACAGACTCGTAGCCGAATTTGTCACAGAAAAAATGCTGTCCAATTTTCGTCTCATTTCTCCGTCTACAGTGGATGGTGTTTCTTTGTTGATCATTTGAAAAATTGAAAAAATGGCAAATAAATAAGTCAATGAAAAAAGAATTTGTATGAACGATGGTTTTTTTCACTTCATTTTTTTCGTTCTTTCCCTTTATTTGGTCCGACTTCGAAATAAAAGCCAGATTGCTTTTTTCCAGTTGAAAATAATATTGAGATGGAAACTTTTGTATTTCGACTAAATGAAATGGTTGTTTGGTTTGTGTGTTTTCTAATTTAATAAATGTGTTTTTCTCGACACATTCTTCTGCGAATAACTTTGAATTGAGCGTCATTGGGCCCAAATATATTTGCTACAAAATCACAGAAGCGAGCGACAAAGTTGGTACAGCTTTGCAATGGACTCCAGTTGTGCGACGACTTTGTTGGTGTAATGTTATGTTCCTTTTGTACGTTGTATGCTAGACATTCCATATGAATGGAATGGTTTACGTTCGTTGTTCATACCGTGTAGAGCGAATGAAAGAGTATCGAACAAGCACGAAATTCGCATTCGATGGCGATGGCGCATATATTGGAAATGGACACGACTCATTGTTGAGTGATTGTCACCAAAGTAGTTTTTGTGATAAGTTTCAAAAGATGTCAGAAAAAGTAAAGCGATTACCTTTAGCAAAGCATTTTAAAGTTTATTGAAAAAACGAAGAACAAATATTTTATGTTTAAAATGTAAGTTCGAGAGCACACAATAGCATTGGCATGTATCGATCTATCATCAAGATCATTATTAGTGGCAGTGGCCTGAAACATGGTAAACTTTTCACACTTGTCGTCGAACAAAGCCGTTGACTTGAACACATTGTATACAAATGGTGTAAACGAAACATAGAAAAATGCTTTCCATTCATGCCGTTTGAATGGGATACCATGAAGCAAAAGGGACGACCAGCACAAGACTGCGTTTCGGTCGTGCCATTCGTACACATACCGAGATAGACACACATGACGAGAGAGACGTATCAAAAATGTGCCTTTTCAACATAAACATTCCATTGCTTATTGAAAAACTTTATTCGCAAACTTTTCTAAGCACTTAAAGAATGTGCTCTAACTTTTCTACACATTCATAGCCATCTCTTGCGGATTGTTGTACGACACAATATTATTTTATTTGGACACTCGTAATGCGGATGCTCGGCGCATTTTTTTTAAACATATATTTCAACTTTTCGATTCATTTCAGTTCGGAAATATGTGTTTTGTTCAAAAGCAACGAATAAATGCAATGTTCGCACATTTGCTTCGTTTTCTCTTAAACTAAAAATAAGAGAATCAAGTGTATTACATCAAATATGCCATTTGAGTTAGACGATATAGCAATTGGGGCGAAAATGACACAATATTCATTTCGATAGATTCCATCATTGACTGCTAGAAATGGAAAAAGTCACCGAATATTTTACATTTTTGTTATTTTGCTTGGTTTTTGTTAATTTATTTTGTATTAGAGCGTCCATATTTAAATCTACATTTCTTTGAAGCCTTACATTTCATTGTTTGTTTATTAAGTTCGCCAACTGGCGAAACCTTATGATTTTTGGCATTTCTTAACTGTTTTGAACAGAATGTTTACAGTCTACACCAAGTGATTGTTGTGGTTTTTCAATTGACTCCCGTTCTCACCCACAAACTTTTTTTTGTTATTTCATCAACCATTGGCCAACTTCTGTCCGTCAGACTCAACGTTTCTAAATGAATATTGAAAATATTTTCGCAGCGCAAACGGAAGCCTTTTCACTTCTATTTACATTGGTTGGACAGACAACAATGTCGGTTTGGTTGAAAAACACTTCACTTTAACTCCAAAACTGAAATATTAAGTTCCATGCATCCATGGATGGAATTCATTTACAAGGCGAATGTTCAAGTCACGGGGAATAGTTTTTAAGTCAAATATTTTATTTTCCAAGAAGTTTTATGAAATTAAATATTTGAAAATGCTTTTATAAAATTGTTTGCTTTGCTATACATTTTATTTGTTCTACAATGAACTATCATATTTAAACGAAGGTGCATTCAGTTAATGTTAGAGGGAGACAAATGCATCCGAGTAAAATGAGCGTTTTCACTTACCTCGCACAACAAGTTGGACCGGTTGACTGGTTAGAGCATCCTGAGTTGTGAAATCACTTGCCGTTACTTGACATTCCCAGGCTCCGTCGTCGAAATCAATGGTAGCCGCTCTAACCCACAGAGAACAATCACCACCAATATGCTGCGAAGGAATGCCCGGCATACCATAAGATGTTGTACCCGCCCACTCATACTTTTTCGGATAAATTCCGACCGGCTGAAAAAGAAAAACAAAATGGATTTCATTAAAATTTCATCGGTATTTTCATAATGTATGTCTTCAATCGGGACTATATATATAGATATATATCTTAATTCACAAATTAAGAAGTAAATTCAATTTAAACGAAAAAAAACGTTTCATTTAACACGCACATAACTGTCACTTCTACACTCAAGCTAATGAGATGAGCCAATACAAATGACATTTATTATGCTCTGTTCAACAAACGCTTTTACCAATTTGACGTAAACTTACTTTACGTGCTATTCAACCATCATTTATTGTGTTGTTATTCCGGTTGTTTATATACATTTCACAATTATTCGTGATTTTTATGTTTTCGGTGGATGACAAAAAAATCATAAAGGTGCTACAATCCACATTGAATTTATCGCCGTGAGTTGGTATTAATAATAAAAATAATACATCATAATCGTAACGCTGTTCTGAGGTTCGGAGTGGGTGGAATGTTCACAATCCTTATGCACAATGCCTTGAGCTTTTTAACGGAAAACAAGAAAAATGCTCGGTTTGCGTGTAAAACGATTTTCGCACTGTACGCCAGAGCCATAAATGGAATTGAGTGTCATATATTGTAATCTGATGCCTGGCGTAACGAGACGACATTTATTATTTATACACTTTGTATGTGAAAATCCAGTTGGATTTCTGTTCGTGTGTTGCTTCTGCTACTGGTGCTGCTAATCACACGATTAGTAGATGTGTGTGTGTTTTTTTTTTCGGTTTCTTAGCTGAGGCATGCAAGTGTCGAGAACAATAAAATCGCTGCAGGTACAGTGCAAAATGTGTTTCCACATGACATTTCGAGTGAAATTGGAGTTTGAGGCATTCGCTGTGAGCAAACAAAAAATCAAAAGAAATCAAGAAAAATGGATGTTCATACACCGTGGAAAAGACCGTGGAAATTCGCCACACAACCGTCACATAATAATAATCATTGTATCACATTGTATCACAGCAAGTGATGTTGTATTCATTTTCATAATAGCAGTATGCATACAACATGACATGATAAAGATATAAAAAAATCAAAACACGACCGAGAGGATAGCAACGCCATGGATTGCAAAATATGTGAAGAGGAGCAAAGAAAGAAAAAATGGAATGAAAAGCGCGAATGTGTAACGAATGAATCAAATATCGTAAACGCATAGAGGAATGTTTTGCAGCCACCACACCATGGAACATGAGCGTGGGACTCACTGGCACAAGTGTTGAGCAAGCAAATGAACAACGTACACACATATCAAGCGTTGACGATATGCACACACATAAGGCACGCAAGACACTCAATAATAAAATATTTTATGTAATATTTAAAGATGACATCAAGATATTTTCATTCGTTTTACGGAATATATGAATATGAAATGACGAAATGTCTGTCTTTGCAGCTCATAAGCGACAGCCCGATGCCTGGAAGTGTCGAATGTTTGACGCTAGTAGGGTAAAACAGACCTGACATGAAAAAAAAAAATGAAATACACTAAGCAAATCACTTGAAGCGTTGTCGAATTTAAAATTATGCACGCGGCAATATGTGCGCAGCCCGAACCGTGTGCTCTGTTTTCACGCTCTGACTGATGCTTCTATACTCATCAGCCAAACAAAGAAAACTGCTTTTTCAGCCATACTCTTTTATTTCCATTGTTTTACCCCGGCAGCTTTAAATTTATATTTTTTCCATTGTTTCGAGATTTTACACACGGTGTTTTGTTTGATTTCTGGACTTTTTTCTCCCCCATATATTGCTGTGTGTGTATGCAACGCTGGAAAATTCTCTTTGTTTTTCTCTATTTGTATGGCTAAATGTGTAACATTTTTGCCTCACATTTTATGCATATCGTTCGAAATGTTTGAAACGAGTGTAAGCTTTTGCAGCGTTTTGTTCGTTTCTTATCTGTATCCTGTTTTGTTCACCAAACGCACACATGAATGCTAGTGACTTTTATGTTTTTCTTGTTCGATTCGTCTTGTTACGGTGCATATGTGTCAGCTGGTTGCCTTATAAATATGTATATTGTATTTGTTTAAAATATGTAACGTATTTTTGTTTCTTTGTAAACGTTAACATGCATGCCGTTGTTAAAATGAATTCGACGCCGGCAAGAAAAAGACCAACTCACTCGGTGGTGAGTTGGCAAGAATAATCTGGATATTAGCCAACAAAATTCTCAACAATGGTAGTACAACTTTCTAATTTCAATTCATTCATGGCGAAAATGATGGCGAAATTTTTGCAATAGACTACAGCCTATATATGGATGGTGTGCTTTAAAACTTTTGTTTTGTTAAGTTTCCGAAAGAAAGAAAGGAAGAAAGAAAAAACGATTTGCGCGACTTTGTTGGCTGCGCGAGTTGTATAGCCTGATTTATGTATGGAGTTTTGCATCTAAATTTAGTTGACATTTTACCTTATTATCCTTTTGCCATGAGCACGATCCCCGTTTGTCTATAATTTTACATGTGAGTAACGCATCTTCGCCAGGATTCACTTCTGTGTATTTTGGCTGCTCAGCGAATCGTTGCAATCCATAACATCCTGCGAAAGAAAATGAATTATAAAATTAGTTTTTTTTTTATTAATAGCATGCGCTTGTTAGACATTTTCCCAATTAGTTCGGGCTCATTAAAACACTGAAACATATAGCTCATGAAATATAGAACTTTGGACATAAAAGACAAACGCATTTGCCAATAACACACAATCAGTCTATAAAAAAAGAAGAAATGTCAATTACTTTACATTTTGACATTGTCAAATTTCACAATGGAATCTTATTACTTCAGATTAAGCATCTGCGCTCACGAAAAACGCATTTCAAGAATGGAATCGTGACAAAGAGAAGTTTCTTATTTTATTGTGGCGAAATTCAATTGGTCGTCTGTCGTATAAATATCGACCGACAAAATGGAACGCAATTTATCAGACTTTTACAACAATCGAGTTAAACGGAATCGACACGAAATGCGAACAAACGAATTATGAGAAGAGATTTATACCAGATGATGAGCCCAGTTAATGAGCATTTTTTTAGCACATTTAATGATTGTCTGTTTTGTGTGACATATTTCAGATGTTAAACTTAAGCGTGCAATGCAAAAATATCAAAAGTATAAGGAACAGACGCTCATAATACAATTTATTATCATAATGTTTGACATCGTTGAAAAAACAATAGAATACGCTGCGCACACAATCTACACAAATTCATTTGAATTTTGCATTTGGCGAAACAGAAGTTTATATGTAACACCACTCAGCACGATTTTAAGAATATGACAAAAATTCCATTGTCGAAACATAATTAACTTAAATAACAAAAGCACAGCAAGTACACTTCAAGCAGATGTCAAACAAATTTGTTCCGAAACAAGTTATATTATTTAATAAAATTCACGTTGATGAATTGAAAAAAGTTTTTAAAAAATGCAGATAAAATTTTATTATTTGTTCATCTAACATGAAATTCGTTTGACACTAATGGCACGCCGTAAAATGAAAAAAAGTGATTTGATTGCACGTCGAATCGAATTTGATAAAATCCAAATGAACAAGATCGTGATAAAGAGAAAAATGGCTTCCAACAAATTTCTTTGTATTTTCATTTTGTTGCAATGAGTCGACACGTTCGCACATATAAGCTGCAAGCATTACACGTGTTCTAATTACCGATTCGGATTTTGAAGTGTAAAGTCATTCAGTTGATGAACATGGAATTCTAACCTCCCCTATTCGGTATGCATATGCACTCGCTGTAATAACTTTGCGGTTATAATAAAGTTCTCATCGAACGCCAGCACCCGTCTCAGACCTGATTAAAATTTCAAACGATACGACGAATGAAAAATGTTGAATTGTATATACGCGCATTGAGTGTACGTTGCATTAATCGCGCTCTGTTTGCATATAGAATTCTGCTTTTTTACTGTGGGGATGTGGGTTTTGCAAAATATTTCCCTTTTGTTCGAATGAATTTTCCAATTACCATAGAACAATCGTTTAGCGCCCGAGTTTCATGAAAAATTCACATTTTCCCATTACCTTAACGTGAGCAATGCTGGTAATTTTTCAGTTTACAAAAAATCCTTTCACGCAGCGCCCGGCATTCGAAGATAAGTAAACACACTGAATATTTGAAGAAAGTTCACTTGGCTGTGCTGGTTGTGTGCACTGAATCGTGAATTTCTTGTTAGCTATTCTCTCATGTGTGTCTGTGTGTGTATGTTCGAGCTAATACGCTTCATGTTCGCGTCATCATTTATATTTTATTGGGCAAATCCGCAAAGAAATGGATTGCATTGCGAAAATCCCGTGTATTTTCATCGTAAAAGTAAAATCGTATTCAAGACGCGAACGATAAAACCAGGAAATAAAGAACAATTTACTTTTCCTTTCTGTTCGATTCTTTTTGTTCATGCCATCTCGCAATCGTTTTTCTCGCTCTCATTCATTCACTCACTCTCATCGGAGTGCGTGTGTGGCAAATTTTTCCTCATCTAAGATCATATTGGGGTAGCGTGTGAGGTGCTATGAGTATGCCTCAGTTGTCGTCGTTTTGCATGGCTAATTTCAATTTTCAGGCAATGTAATCGCAAATAAATCCTTTTTATACACATTTCACTCAGCATTTGGCGGCATATAAAAAAAACCGCTTGATTTAAGAAGAAAGCAAGAAACATTTGGCTACTTGTATGCGATTTCCTTTCGTTCCATTAATCGCTGTCACAGAATTGTGTAGAGTTTCATAAGGCTCACAAGCGAAATGCAAATTCAATGTTTACTTACTACAAGAGAGAAGAGAGCGATGGGGAGAGAGAGAGAGAGAGAGAGAGAGAGAGAGAGAGAGAGAGAGAGAGAGAGAGAGTGAGAACTATGCTTGGTCTCCATTCCACCGAAAACGCATTTATTTTAACTGGTAGTAGTAAAAGGCTAATATTTATGTAGAAGTAACCGCAACAGCTTTAGGGATTGAAACGGTCAAAGCTATAAATACTGAAACTGTATGAAAGTTTGAACTAGTTTGAATTCCTGTATTTCATTTTGGATTTCGGACTTTGCCACCCAATGTGGTGTAAGATAACTTTATTGTGGCAGTTTGGTATGTGTGAATAATAGATTGTCGTGACAACACCACCAAATCGCACACACACACACACACCCATATCCCTTTGCTCAACATCATCGCCGAAAATGCTCATTCTTTTGCATAACCGATTCATTTTGGGAATTTGACAGTGTCTTAAAATGGATTTTCACATTCGCATCCATTTTCACCATGCCCAAAATGGTATACTCTGCATTGAAATTGAATTTTTGTGCGAGAAACAAGTTTCATTGATCTTTTGTTTGCATACATTGTGCATTTTGGTTTTTACCCGTAGTGGGTTTCTTTTGGTTTTTATTCACCATCGTTGAGAAAATTTCTGTAAACAAAATAACATTTGTGGTTTCCACCGCATTTCAGATTAAAGCAAAATAACGATGAGGTGTATCGCATGCTTATTTCGGGTTTTGAATGCGGTTTCACTTCAACTGATCAAATAACTTACTGAGCGTAAAACTTCACGTTCAAAGCAGCAAAGCTTTTATTATAAGCGCCATTTACAACCAGTAAATTCATATTGTATTTGTACACCAATCCGAATCATGCTTACAAAGCCTTCTACCAGGCTAAAAACCAACAAATTCAGATGTTAATTGCGTGCTTTTATTCTTGGCTCAAACGATCGGGTGTTGAAACATTTACAAAATAGTTTAAAATAAAAGTTCAAAGGATTTCAACTGAATGGAAAACACCTATGATATTATACACTTTAGCTTCGATAAAGAGGATTAGACAAAAACTTGTGTAAATTTCATTATACGTTCAGGATTATAACTTATTTCTGAAAAGAAAAGAGTATATATTCCGAATAGTTCATGCTGAAATACAAAAAAAATCTTTCTATTTATACAAGGTTCAAAGCACACGAGGCGAGACACCATAAATTGACAATCGTCTGCGTTTACTGTCAAAATAATGACTTCATAAGCATTTCTTTTGAATGAACATTCGACTATGGCCGTCTGACTGAACAAAGTGAATGTGCAAATGCTAAATACACATCCTTTGGACTTAAAAGATGGACATAAATTCTCGCGACCTTTAAATAATAATCACCGCTATTAAAATGACACCGAACAAATACTCGTTATTTTATGACTTTCTGCAATTATTTTCAATTTTTTTTTGCCGCATTAGAATTTAATTCAATGGAAAGGTATTTTTGCAATGGTAATTGGCAAAGTATACCGTACTAAATGATTTTTAATTTCATTTGGCTTCCTAAGTTGCGGTATTCAATTTATTTTCTATCCGCTTCTAGTGGCCGCGCACAGGATATAGGACGAGTTGTTGGTAAAGAGAGAGAGACAGAGAAACGCCGAGGCAAAATTAAAAATGCACTGTATCACAGACATAGTGATGGTGGAGTAATTGCACGAAAGGCGCATGGATATTCAGTGCGACCATTCAACAATTCAAACTACAGTAATTAAGTGCATACTTGAACTGGATGCCGTTTTCAATGGCGACAAGTGAAAGCGAGCACCGACATTGAATAAAACCATAGACTAAGCTACAATAGATAATCTTTCAAGTTTGTCGACATTTCAAATGGGAAAACTTTGAGATCGCCTCATGTACATTTGTCAAGTGCTTTTTGTCGAAAAAGTTGTGGCACTTCGGAAGGCACCAAAAAAAAAAAATAACTTGGGCTAGGAATTTCGATTGCTTTGCTCAATTTTGTTTTAATTAAAATAATTAAGTGATGAGTGAAAAGAAAAGATCCAGTACGGATACCCAGACATTTTTACATGTGAACAGCGCCCTATTAACATCAATCGAGAACACATACAATATGAAAAAAAAAAAACGTATTCGAGAATGCTTGTCGATAACTGAATAGGTAATTTATCTTGATTAAATATTAATTGCTAGGAAAGAAACACAATGAATTGGAAAGTTGAACACGCAATGTTATTTTTTTTTAAACGGAATTTTAATGGAATTTTTCATGTCTATTTATCGTACAACCCAAAATGGGTTAGGGAATGGTATTGATTGTGAAAAGGATCCGTTAGGACATGCTATATTCTGATTAAATACCAACATTGAAATTTCCATAGAAAATGTTTTAAAATTGTTACTTTCGATATACTCGCATTTTTATCCCAATGAACACAATCATTTGTTTCCATCCATAAATTCTATTTATTTAATTGATGAAATTACTTTATGATTATCGTCAACTTTAAAGTGCGATCAATATGCTCTGTCTAATGTACATTTATCGCTCTTCATCGTCATGCAAACGCTTGAATATTTTCCATTTCATGTCTTGTTCAATTTTGTTTCGTATTATTTTCTGAAGAGTTGAAAATAATAATAAATTTTATCCAGCGCTAGGTCAACGAATGGTCTATTTTTACTGTCACTTCAACATGAAAAGCACAAATTTCACCAAATGTTGTGCACCGAAACTGTACTCAATGCGAAC